TTATATATATATATATATAAGGCTATCAAATTCCTATGTATTTAAACGGCTAACATCTAAACTTAACCTTTTACATTTACATCACATTGATATTTCATATCACATCAAAAATATTATTATAAATAATTAAATAAATATGTTAAATACACCTTTCCATGCACAGGGAAAGTGGCATTTATGTAAAAAAAAAATAAATTTAGACAGTAATAGTTTCTCTTCCCAGAATAATTAAGTTGTTAAATATGTAAATACATAATAATTAAGTTGTGTGTATGTAAATTTTCCCAGAAAATTAAAAAACAAAAGAAGAAAGAAAGAAAGGACTTCACTAGCATCCCTAACGGCAATAGTTCAAATTTTCCTCAGTTCAATTTACAGAGCTTCATATAAAACAAAGCTATCTCAATCAACTAAGTCCTTTGGCTAATAAAAACTAAGATCTGAATCCTACCACACTACAAATTCTATAAATTATCACAAACTTGTCTCAGGCTTGAAACCTGGCAGGTCTGACTGCACAAAACTTCAGAAAGTCATCTATTCCTTTAGGTTGGAACCCATGAAACCTGCATTCTGAAACAAAATTCAGAAGAAGAAGAGGAAGAAGAAGGAGACTGCAAGTTAAAAGAGAAATCAAGCTAAAACCTTCTCTGATTTCCTATGAAAAATGATTTGTATTTCGCTTATTAAGTTTTTCATTTCTTCAGCATAGTAGTCATGATCCTTCATCTCCCACAACTGCTCCTGGATTCTCTCCAGGACATTGTCAAGGTCACAGAAATTTTTTAAATCTAAAGCGTCTGTTGAGGGGAGTTGCAATAAGCTCTTAACTGCTTGTAGTGCCTGGAAAAAAAGTTAAAAAAAAAAAAAAAAGATCAACCCACAATAGTTATAATAAAAGGAATTATGGCTATAAAAAAAGCTCGACATTCATAAACAATTTTTTTTAATTCATTAAGAAGCCCATATTTTATCCATTCATTAAGCGAGTCAAAGAACAACAATAGCAACAAGCCTTTATCCCACTAAGTGGGGTCGGCTGCATGGATCTTTCTTTTTCATTGTGTCCCATCGAGTATCATCCTTTCACTTAATTCTAATAAAATTAAGAACAAATTTTATACAACATGCCCAGCGCTTTTTAGGTCTATCTCACTTAATCGGCTCATCAGATGGTCGACAATTTATATGACCAAACCATCTATGACGACTCTCTCTAATCTCGTTTGTCACTGGTGCTACACCAATCCTTTCATGGATATATTCGTTTCTATATTCATTCGTTTCACATTTTGTCTCTAAGTGTAAAACCACTCATCCACCTAAGCATTCCCATCTCAGCAACACTAAACTTAGTTTTATGCTTCTTAAGTGAGTCAAACACAAATAATTTTTTTAGCTAAATTTTTAAACAAGCTAGACACAAGCAAACCTTTCTTTGATTGTGTCCCCCCCCCCTGCTGCTGTCTCTCTCTCTCTCTATATATATATATATTTCATTAACATCGCCTAAATCTTTTATATCACACAAAAACAACTATTTTAACTTATAAAAAGTGAAATACACGTTTTCATGTATAGATAAGGTAGCTTATATAAAAATAAAATGAAATGTACAATTTTTTTTTCCTTTCTTTTTCATGAAGGGTGTCAATCACCTACTATTTGATGAAATTAGGACTTCAGCTCAATTATTTATGAATCTACCATTGATAAACAAAAAGAAAAATTTGAATGTGGGGAAGGACATGGAGCTGGATGCAGGAACAGTTGCCATGACACTACATGACTATTGTTTATAAAATTTATCTTTAATATTCAGTATTTTTAATGGTTTTTCCTAAATAAGATGAAATAATCTAATGAAATAAATGCAGTAAATAAAATGAAAATTTTATGGACATGCAAACCATCTAACACAAACCATCTACTAGACTTAGAAGGACCGTTCTGTATTTATTTATTTATTTCATGAGAAAGCTCAGACTTTTAAGCCACATTCATGCTTGAGTCAATGTCTTCATCATATCCACCAAAATGAAGGTTGAGCTTAACAAGATGCCACTTAATGATGAGGTCTAACCTCAATACCCATGAAAAAAGACCTTCATACTTTGTTTACCAGGTTCATTTTTCGAGTCAAATCATCTTAAGTGAGAATGATAAAGAAAAAAAAATCCAAATCTTATTTGTACACCAGAATATATATATCTATGTGTGTGTGTGTGTGTGTGTGTTGGTGCATTTACGTACATAACACACTAGGGCTGTAAACGAGCCGAACTTGAGCGAGCTCAGGCTTGGCTCGTGTTCGGCTCCGTCGGAATAGAT